ATTGATCAGTTTCATGATTTCAAGTAGCAACAGGAGAGGGAGAGAAGAAGAGGCAGTCGCTCTATATATCGGTTGTTAAGCTTAACGTGGGAATGCTTACAAACACATATTTCTGCTAAGTACTCTTTAAAATACCAGAATAGGGAGGATGGAGTAGGTTTATTAGATTGATCAGTATTGCTGAACTATGAAATATTTTGGGTGCAGTGTATTTTTTGCATACAGGTATAACAGAATAGCTTTAATGTTTTATTTTTTAAAACTTGAGTATGAACGTATACAAAATGTAGCAAGATATTAAAAAAAACAGTTGTATTGATTATAAAATACACTAAGATAAGATAAGATAGAACTTTATTAATCCCTCGGGTGGGTTCCTCTGGGAAATTCGATTTCCAAAAAAGCACAGCACCGACAGAAGTTACAGAGTTACAGAATATTATATATATATACACACACACACACACACACACACACACACACACACATATAATACAGAGACAATATAAATAAAATATACGAAGGGGATAAATAGAATAAATAGGAATAAAAAATAAAAATAAAAATACAAGTGAATTGCACATTTCAAGTATTGAGGTCTATTGCACTGTTGACTATTTACAAAAGTATTGCACAAAAGGTATTGCACAGTGAGGTGAAGAGGCACTACAGCTTAGTTGTTCCCCCCTCCTTTGTCCTCCTGTTTCCCCTCCCTCTCCCCTCCAGAGAGGAGTTAAACAGTTTGATGGCGTGTGGGACAAAGGAGTTTTTAAGTCTGTTAGTTCTTGTCTTGTCACTATATCGGATTCATACCTGTATCAGCAGATATCCAAATTTATGATATCGGTATCGGACGTAAAAAAGTGGTATTGTGCCATCTCTAATAAAAGGCAACAAACTCTGGAAAACTAGAAACACTAGGAGGGGATGGTGACTAATGCGCTGTCAAGGGACAAAGAGAGACTCAGAAAGTAAATGTAGAGGCAGGTGATTAGAGGAAGAGGAGACACATGGGCACACAGCTAAACTGAATACACTTAATGTCACAAAACAGAACACGATGAACACAGGACAACAGACAGAAACTGAAACTGAGGCACACAAACTTCACAAAAGGGAAAATAAACATGGATTCACCACTGACTAAACATGGTACGTGGAACACAGGGGAGGCATGATAACGGATACACAAAGACTACAAAAAAAATAAGAAGACCCGAGAACAAATATTAAACAGAGGAATTACAACTATAGTAAGAAGCAAAGCCTCAGAATATTAAATAACCCAAAATCAAGAGCCCAAACACATAAACGCTGGCTCCAGAGCCATGACACACTGTGAGTGCTAATCTGTAGCTGGTTAACAGATTTACTATACATACAAAACACCCACAGTTTGAGACTGTGAGCAGAGACAAACCCAACCTCAGAGGTCATGACTTAGAGAACTACTAGTGCTGGGCTCAAGCCTAGAAAAATGGGAGAGTTGCTTCAGGAGGGGCATACGGTGTAAACTCAGTGCCAATTCAAACATGCAGATACATGTGCTGTGGAGACCCCTGGAGAAATAAGGGATCAGCAAAAAAAAATATCTTGTCAGTTTTCAAGAATAATTTCATAACTCGTAAGCAGTGTTGGTCAAGTTACTTGAAAAAAGTAATCAGTAACTAATTACTGATTACTTCCCCCAAAAAGTAATCCTGTTACTTTACTGATTACTTATTTTCAAAAGTAATTAATTACTTAGTTACTTATTAAAAACACAATTTACAACCTGAATAATAATGGATACTTTATTGATCCCCATGGGGAAATTACTTGTTTTTCTCTGCATTTGACCCATTCACTCAGTGAAGCAGTGGGCAGCCCACTAAGCAGGCGCCCGGGGAGCAGTGTGTACGGACGGTACCTTGCTCAGGGGTACCTCAGGGTAGCCGTTAAGTGGATTCGAACCGCCGACCTTCCGATCATGGGGCGACCACTTTACCTACTGAGCTATCCCTGCCCCTATAGGTGATAAAGTGATAGATCTTTTAGCCCAATTCTACTTTTTCTACATAATCCATCATACAAAATGTAATCAAATGGAAAAGTCTCTTTTTTTAAACTTGTTTTATCAGTTTTAATCTTTTAACTTTATGCATCAAGTAAAAATTTAATTATATGCAACATTCTCTGACTTGAATAAATTTGTTTAACATTTAAACCTATTTTCTACACATTCCAGCTCATAAAATAAAATATTTTTTGTGTTTGCACTCAGTCTTTCAAATAGATGCAAGTAAAACACAGCAGAAAATAAATAAAGTCAAAGACTCAGAGGTCCTGTTGCTCTATTTTCACCTGTAAAGCAGGACTGTGGTAGGTGGAGGTTTACCCTGGTGCAGGTGTGCCGCGGTCAATGGAAGAATCCGTGAGTTTCTCTGCAAGTTTCCCATTACGTCATAGCGCACTAGGTGCTTGCTCGGAGTTCTGCTAAACAGCTATCACTGATATTCCTTTAGCATTTAGTATAACGTGTGTACATACCGGAGCATTGAACAGCTTAAGGACCCAAATGTGTTTCTCAGGACTGTGTTTTACATCCAAAAAAGGCAATAAAATCATGTATTTTAAGGTTGAAATGCTGCACATGTTTTATGAGGTAATAATGTTACATTAGAAAATTACATTAGGAGACAAGAACACTCTGTGTTTTTCGGACTTTAACGGTTTATCTCTGCACTCTGATTCTTGTTTATCATCAGCATGAACAAGATGAGACTTTGGCCTGTTTGAATAATCCCGGTAATTGTTTCAAGCCCACAGAACATCAGGTTCATTGTTCATTAGATAAAAACTATTTTACATGTTTCTGCAGATTGATTCATTTCTGCCCTGCTGTTAATATTGGTTAAGCATTTTAACAGTGTGAGTTTCCGACCTTAATATTTTTCTTCAGTATCATGATCAAGCAAACAGAATGAGGCTCTAGTGAGCAGCTGCCATGATTAAACAATGGTAATAACAGATGATAAGTAATGATAAATGGTAAATTAAGCCCCAGCAGTGCTGTTTTGCTTTATTTTCCCCATCCCTGTTCCTCTTAATCAAAGCAGGTAACACTTGATCTATTTTGTGTAGAAGAAGAGACAAAGTGACAAATGCGGAAAAAGCTGATATCTGTCACTGGGATAGCCCAGAGAGATTTCTGTGTTTGTTGAACCAGCTAACGCTAAGAAAGCCTGTGGGTTTGTCACTCTTGGTTTCCAGTATACCTCTTTGGTATGAAAAAAAAATTAATACAAACTGCTGAAGCTCAAACTGAGCAGCAGAATGTGGGAATAAAGGTGATTTGAGGGACTTTGAATGTGGCACAGTTGTTCGTGTTGGTCTCAGAATTTTCCCACACAACCATCTTTAGGGTTTACGGAGGATGTTCCAAAAAAGAGGAATAAAAAAATCCTGTGAGCGGCAGTGCTCTAGGATCTTGTAAATGTCAGAGGTCAGAGGAGAATGGCTAGACTGCTGTGAGCTGATAGGAAAGCAAATGTAATACAGAGTGGTTTTTGAAAAAAGAAAACAGGGACCACACAGCTAAGAACAGAAAATTAGGCTCTAATTTGCACAGGCTCACGAGACTCAAAAATCCCAACCCCCTGGTCGCCCCGTGGCTCAGGGGGTTGGGATTTTTGAGTCTCGCATCTGTAACCGGAAGGTCGCCGTCGCCGGTTCGATCCCCGGGCTCTCTGTCCTGGTCGTTGTGTCCTTGGGCAAGACACTTTACCCTACCGCTTACTGGTGTTGGCCAGAGGGGCCGATCGCTTCTGTCAGTCTGCCCCAGGGCAGCTGTGGCTACAGCTGTAGCTTGCCTCCATCAGTGTGTGAATGTGAGAGTGAATGAATAGCGGCATTGTAAAGCACTTTGGGTGCCTTGAAAAGCGGTATATAAATCCAATCCATTATTATTATTATAGGCTGATAGGTCTCAGTTTCTGCTGAAACATTTGAATGTACGGTCAGAATTCATGCTCCAGGCTGCTGCTAATGGTATAATAGTTTGATGGTTATTTTCTTGGCACGCTTTGGCCCCATCAGTGCCAACTGAACGTTGTTTAAACTCAACAGCTCCTGAGTGTTGTTGCTGTCCCTTCATGTGTATCCATCAGCTGATGGCAGCAGGATAACGCACCATGTCAAATCATCTCAAACGGGTTTCTTGAACATGGCGATGAGTTCACTGTACCCAAATGACCTCCACAGCCCCCCAGATCTCAGCTCAACAGAGCATCAAGAATGTGCAGCCAAAAATCTGCAGCTAATAACCCCGTCTGAAAGAAATACTTCAAGACAGAAGATGGAAAAAAGCACTAAAAAGCCAATGTATATTTAGGTTTGATTACTGGTAAATCTAGTGGACGGGGAAAAAAACATGTAAAAGACGGAACATTTTGTGATTTTTTTTTTTTTATGTCAGGAAAAGGTCTGCATTCAGTAATTCATGTTTCTTTACAACAGGCAAAAAATAAATAAAAATAATGAGGAATTTCTTTCTGGTTTGTTTTAAAGTACGTCATGCTAACTAAAGAGTCATGTGTCTGACTCACTGTGAAAGACCTTAAAATAAATGAATTCTCTGATCAGACACGATGGTTTACAAGTCGTTATGTGTGGGACACAGATGCAAAAGAAAAAAAGCAGTCTAGTCAAAGATTTAATGATACCTTTGATGGATTTATTAGGGGTGTTTTTGAAATAGTTTTTAAAAATACACAGAAAACCCTCAGATTGATGAATTCTTTATGAATTTCATGATTAAATTTGGTCTGCACCTGACGTTTTTGTTGCCTAGAGCTGCACGAGTTGATCTCTCCTAACTCACAGGTATCAGTGCAATATTATCAGCCCATTTTCATTTCTTTTAAATATGTTTTTGCATTATTTTCATTTTTGTTGTGTATTTTAATTCTTATCTGGATAAATTTGCACCTTCTTCTTATATTTTCCTCTCCCTTTCTCAGCTCTGGAGACCAGCTGGGTGGAAGAAGGGGTTAGATGCCCTCTTGGCCAATTCCCATGTGGAAACACGAGTGAGTGCCTCCCTCAAGTTTTGCAGTGCAATGGACACAAAGACTGTCCCAATGGAGCTGATGAGAGACAGTGTGGTAAGTGTGAGCCAGTGTAACAGTGGTTATAAATGACCAAAGGCAGTATTTACTTTTAAGGGAATAGTATGTTGTTTATATTGACTTTATTATATTTTCTTATTTTTTAATATAAGTTAGAATTTTTAAATAAACTTTAGATGTTTGTAGCTCGCATTTTATGAAACGCTGAACTAATGAAATGAAGATTTGGCCTTATTTAACCTTACATGAGTCGAAAATTCACATTTTAACCTGTGATTTCACTTCATAACTGTCTTTCTTTCAAGGTGACACTAAAAGTTTTAGCAAGACAAAGAGAACGACAAGCCCAGTCAGAAATATCCTGTAGTATAATATTATACAATAAGTTTAAGGTATTCATGTTTAGTTATTTATAAATCAGTGCCTGTTGTCCATTACCTACTCCTACTTTTTTTTTTGTACATTTCAAAACAAAGGAATAAATAATATAAACAGCATTCAATAGTAGCATTAACGACTAGCAGGTTGTTTAGTGATCATGTACAATCCCTGCTTCCTGGTCGAAACTACACTGCATTCATTAAGGATCTTGTCTTCTCTTTTGTGTTTTATTGTGTTGGATCTTGTTCTATTTAATATAAACAACTGTCTAAAAATAGTCAGTGATCACCATGGGCTTCTCTGGGTTTTTATTACCCCTGTTCATCTGCAGCACATTTTAAAGCTCAGTTTTTAAAACCTAACGATGTAACTACAGCTGTTCGCGGTTTGCCTGACACCAAATATTTGAATGGGTCAGAAAAGAATCACTTTGAGGCTAACAAAGATTTGAGTGAGTACATGAATGTGAGGATCAGGACTTTTTCATAGCGAGTAATCTAAAACGTGCAGCAGTATATTAATGGCTAACCCTGTGCTGTCGATGTATCTCAGATGTTGACCTGACTGAAGTTTGGAAGCTTCTTCCTGACGTGCGATTGCATTTGTTTCCACCTATCGGGAACTCTCACGTTAACTTTTATTGGAAATAAAATCTATGGGAAAAAGTTAGCAGTTATACTCCAGTGTCGCTGTGCTAATGTGTTTATATTATCCTAACCATAGCTGTGTAGAGAGATTCTGGGTTCAAATCCCGGACGAGCCCCCAATTCTAAATATCAACACTTCACCAAGTTCTTTTGATTCCTCAGAGGCATCTAATGGAAGACAAAACACTGCTCAGTAGAATGTTTAACACTTTATTACTTCTAGAAGGGAGATGCGTCCTGCATGACACTCTGCCACGGATCTCAAAATGGTGGTGTGCCACTAACAGTTTTATTACAGAAGCTCTCTCATTCTAGTCTAAACAACAGTGTCTCAATAACTTTCCTCTAGAGATGGTCCCCTCTTATCTACATTTTCCCAGGGAAGCGTGAGCGAGAGGCTACAGCTTTCTACTCCCCAAGGACACGTGGTCTCATGCCTTTATCTTTCAGGGTTGTGTCCACTTAATACTACACTATATAACTTTATAACAGTTATTATTAATAAGAAGCATAGCATTATTGAGGCACTACAAATTATTTAATCCCAACACTAGCAACCACGTAGCACACCACCATATGCTAGCTAGCCCACCATCGGTAACCCTAAAAATGTCACTGCTGTTTAGTTTTCCTTCTTCATTTATATCCGAAGTGAATGCAGAGCTATATGTTTTAATTTTTCTCAGTCAGAACATGGTATATCATCTTAAATAAAAACTAGCAAGCTAACTCCCCACTAACTTCTAACTCTGTTAAACTTCATAATCCTGTTTTTCATGGATGCCTGGATGTTAAATTTGATAGTTACACCTGGTTAGGCAGACATGCTGATCATTTTATTAAAGATGAAAGAATTTTGACGGCTTTTAACGCTCAGTCATGCTGTAGCGTTTGTTTGAGAACTGAAGGGCTTTTGGACCTGGAAATAGCTAATGATGTCATATTTAACAGGCAGATTCCCTTTAAGGTAAATACTGCTTCTTCTTAAAGTGTTAAGAAGCACTAAAAGAGTGCAAAACCTTATATAGTTGGAGTTTGCACTCTTGTAGTGCTTCTTCTTAACACTTTGACCTTCAGATCAATCTATTGCCCCTAAAAAGAGAGTCAGTGATCAAATATGAAATATTTTAAAACTTCATACAATATTATTGTTGAGAATTCACACCACACTTGTAAGAATCGTAGTTTCTAGGTTATAAGCTTTTGGTCAATTTTCAATCAATAAAGCTGATCTTGAATACCTTAGTTTTCATTCAAAATTTTGAGGTACAGACAGCATGGTAGTCTTGCAGCAAGACTACTTGAAACAGGAGAAAAGCTGTTACACAAGAAGTACTGTAGAAGGGCGTCGATCAAGCATCAGGTCTGGTGTGTACTCCTTTGTGGGAGGAGGACCAGGACTACCAATGCCAGAGTCACACAAAATGACCTCAGATGGGATACTCATGTGCATATTTCTGACTAAACTGTCAGAAACAGAGTCCATGAGGATGGCAACGGGTCCTGACTTCCTTTATTCTGGCCTGTTGCCGCAGCCCAGCATTATGCATTTCAGTTCTCATTCACTAGAGATATACCTCTCCAGACCTTCACTTACCCCCTGCCATTGAGTGTCATAAATAAAGCAGTGAAGGAACTTCTGTTTGTTATACATCGATAATTAGGAGTGACATGCGCCTTAAACAAAAGAACCCTTCTTTTCTTTGGTGGGACTCCAGACCAAATCGAGCCTCGCTTTCCTACAACCTCTCTTGGGCCTTGGAGTATTAGCCACTGGATCAAACTCTCATGACAGTCTTCCTGCAACTGCAAATCAACCAGCTGAGCATGGGCACGAAGACTGTAATCCTGACAATCTCCAAAGCCTCAGAAAAAGACTGAAGCCAAGAGCCAAGAGTAATTTTCCAAAAGAAACATCCCGTTTTTGCCAGTTTTAGAGAACTAATCTGTTTTAAATTACCATTCAAGACCAGGGTCATCATCTGTTGGATATTACCTCTGTGTAAAAGAATACTATAAATGTTACCATGACATCCGAGAATAATCTATTTCTTTTAATTAACAGTCGAGAGTCGCTACGCCATTCAAATATTCATCAGTCATTGTCAATTAAAATGCCAATGTGTTTGTAACTATTTCGTAAACACTCCCTAGGATGCTTGTTTTAGCATTAGTCCCACGGTAAACATGAGTTAGTATTTTTTTGGGTTTTTTTGTTTTAATCATTTAAGCCCTTTTTATGAAACGTTTTCATTTCTGCAGAGCATAGTTTTCTCATCACCCAGGTCAAGAAGGAGCGCAAATTAGTTTCAGTCTGTCTGCGAGGGCATGCTAGTTATCAGAAATCCACTCTGTGTTATATTACTTCTCCATTCTTGTCATCTGCCTCACCACCACACTATGCAACACTGCCATAACGATGACAAGCACAGCAGTAAAGAAGTTCACTTTGTGCACTTTATCAATCTTCTTTTTTTTTTAATTTTCTTAGGAAAATTGGAACAGCAAAAGTACAGTATATAAGCCAAAAATGGAGTCTGTACAATGTACAAGCTTGAAGGTGAATATTTGGTATGAACACCTTTGTTCTTCAATACAGCCTGAACTCTCTTAGACAAGCTCTATTGTAATTTCTTCAGGAATCGTGCTCCATGGTGCGTTTTTACCATTATCATGCTCAAAAGTGAAGCTACTGCCAATCAGACACTTGACACAGACCAGTTGGTATTCAGGCTGGATCAGAATCTGATGGTACTGATGATACGTGAATTCCATCAATTTTGACAGGAGTTGTACCTCTCTCCTGACCTCCTCCATACACAGACCAGACCAGACCAATTAAAGATATCAAATTCATATTCATCACTCCATAAGACCTGTTCCCACTAATTTTCAGTCCAGTTCTTGTGTAATTTGCACAAAAGTATAGGTATTCTTTATTTAAGTAGAAGTTAAAAAGTACTGAAGTGCTTTTACTTCTTTACTTTATACAAGTTCAATCTGCTCTGAAATGTACTCAAAGAAGGAAAGTAAGTACTTTGTTGAAGGACATCATAAATCTAACCAGTTTATCCTGCACACTGTTTGTTTTGCAGATAGTTTCAGAAAACTTTCAAAAATTACCTGCCAGTTAAAAAATGTTTATCCCTTTTTTTGTTCGCTCTGCTTCTGTAAGTACTGAAGAAGTACTGCAACTAGAAGACAGAAGGACATCTGCACCAGTTCCAGATCGTTCTGCCCCCATGACAAAAGTACTATGAAGCTCTTTTTCATTTCCTTTTTATGCGATAATCCCTGGTAATGATTGCACCCATAAGATTTCTGTGTTTTTGTTCCCCGTTATTTACACTAGGCTCAAATCACTTTCATGCACATTGTGACCAGCTTCTAGTAAGAAATTACCTGAAGATCTAATTCAGGTTTTTTGTGCTAAGTTGTATGTTACCTGTAGACACAGAAGTGGTTCATCCCTTGAGTCAGGTGCTTTTTATATGATTGAATGATTTATGGGTGGCTTAACAAACAAATATTTCTCTGAAAATGGTCATATACAAGGACTGGACTGAAAACGATTGAAAAAGCAGACAATGTCCAAAGAGAAACTTTGAAAGACCGTTAAAAAAAAACAAAAAAAAAACAAGAAATCTGTCTCCTTGGAACATTTTTACACAGCACTGTGATAGTGATTGGCATATTTTGTATGTTTCTTAAAGAGAAGCTTGATAACAGATTAGGGGTTTTTGTTAGTAGCTTTAGAAAGATGTAGCTATGGTAGATGAGGCTTTAGAGTTCATTTTGTGAAAAAACTGGGATAAAATCGTTCCAAAAAGTAGCTCAGTCCCATAAAACAGAAAATATTGCTCCATCATTGCTGTTCCTCATCGGTACTGATTTGTCAAAGCTGTTTCTGATTTGTGGGCACTTATAGCTCCCAGTATAGCATTAGGGATGCGTTTAAAATGCTTATAATGTTCCAAGGATATGTCAGGTCATTTGACACAGTATAATGCTTATACTCTGGTGGTGACTTCGTGGTGAGGTGGGTCAACACATACGCCTAACATGCAACAGATTCCTGATTTGCGACTGGGAGTAGACAAACCCAGCGTCAGGCGGTCACGAGCTAATGTACTCCTAGCGCCGTTCCCAAGCCAGGAAAAATGGGAGAGTTGCATCGGGAATGGCATCCGGTTTGGATCCATGTACTGTGGTGATTCGTTTGAAAAGAAGGGAGCAGCTGAAAGTACCCATAATGCTCATGTGCTGGTGATGCCAGTGTAGGAAAACCTTGATAAACTATCATTACTATCCAGTCAAGTGAATTTAACTCTTTGTTCTTTGCTTTGGCAGGGGACAACATCGGATGGGCAGATTTATTTGCCCGCACACTACAGAAGACTAACCCTTTGGACCAGTACTTCCTCAATGAGTGTTGTAAGTGTGTGTGTGCACATTAATACACCCCGGGGTAGAAATATGGGACTCTCCACCATTTGACCCTAGAACTGAAAAAGCTTCTCGGATGAGAGGTGAAACCAACCTAAAGAAGTCCAGACGCTTTTCTTTGCAAGCTCCTTAGACTACGATGACCTGGATGACTGAGAACCTTCACAGATACATTAATACATGTAGACCACAGAGAGACATGATACAAATGATCAAAGAAGGAAAATATGATCAGTTTTTGACATCAGCTAGCAAATAATACAAATGATGTGACCTAGAAAAGAAAAAGTTGCCCCACCAAAGATTAATGGACAGCAATTAGCAAATTCTGACAGCTGGATACGACAGCACACGACTCACAGAATTGACTGTTATGTTGACACTGAGGGAGAACTGTGTTGGGCTCTGGAGAAAAACAAATGCCATGTTTTCATTCGACAAATAATTTTCAATGAGCCTCTAAATAAAAAACAATGTGTGTGTGTAGTATTGCAGGAGTTTCCAGAGAGCTGTGACTGCATACAGACAGATGTTGAGTGTGTGGAGGTCAGCCTGCAGGATGTTCCGTCGCTCTCGCCAAATGTTACCTGGCTGTAAGTGTCCTTTGACTCCAATCACTCTGTCCTCTTCAAGTGATTTGTTATTTTGTAGGTTAGGTTATTACAAGCTGTAACGGCTTGGCAGGTAACAACAGCCCATGTCATTGTGGGTGTGTCACCGTGGCAAAATATGGCCTTGAAGACAGCTATACGCCAAGAACAACAAAAGAGGTAGTTTTGAGTACTCAAAGGTGTTTCTCTGTCTGTCACAGTCCCACAACCATACATGGTACAGCCACAAAGGTTTACAGGTTTGGAGAGCCCATGGATACTGACTAAATGGAGAAAAACCTCTCTGCATGTCTCTAAAGAAAAGAAAAAAAAAAAAAATATATATATATATATATATATATATATCTCATTAATCTTGCTTTTCTCATTCCATCAGCTCAATTGCTTGTTACTGTAATAATTTATTGATCCATTGATTTGAATACTGAAGATAAAAGTTTAAAAAATTGAGATTGAAAAGTTGAAAAGATTTTTATTTATATTTTAGATCTATATTAAAATATTGAAGCACAGTTTAATATCCTGGGGGAAAAAATAGGGTATGATTGTCAGCAGACTAATTACAAAAGGTATACTGAGCCATGTGTGAATTGCAGCTACAGTTCTTTCAAAAATCGCATTCACTTATTTTTATTAGTCAGTGCCAAATTAAATTTATATATATTATACATATTTCTGCATGCCTGTAGTTTGTGTGATGGTTTATTGCACATAACGTGTCAGACATTTCATCGCTTTCTCTCCGTTTTTTCCTCTTTGTGCAAAACGTATGTTTGTGTTTTTCTTACAGCCACATTTGATGGGTTGTGTTACAGGTCCCTGAGGAGCAATGAGATCCGAGTGTTGTCCGATTTTGTTTTCTCAGAATACTCTGCCCTGGAGAGACTGTGAGTATTTTTATGCTGCCATCCTTGTGTTTTTGTTTTTTCGCTGTCTGTTTCTGGGCAATTTAGTTTTTAGTAATGGCAAATGTCAAATCACTTTTATTTGATTTTATCCTTCCTTTAGAATCTGTAGTAATAGTAGCTCAGAAATGACAACGGCTCAAGGAGTGTATTGATTTCTACACTTTTCATACACGTTTTCATTTAGTAGTTTGGTACAGCGGCCTTATAGTGTGACATACTGGACCTGAGCATCCAGTTTTTCCAGTAGATGACTGTTCCATCTACTTGTCTGTTGACAAGAAGATACATTTTCTGTGTTATTTCTTAATAATCATGTAATAAAGGGTAACAATAATATTTCTCTTACAGGTGAAAATAGGATTTTAAGAGCATATGAAAGTTTTCTGTTTTTCCTATTGTCTCAAACATAGTTTGAAATAAAAGAGCATTTGTTATTTTTATTCTGTTCTGTTTTCAGGTTTCTGCAGAACAACAGCCTCCACTTCATATCTAAGCATGCATTCAGCAGTCTGCACAATCTAAAGAGGTTGTAAGTATCCTGCCTCGTTTCCCCTGAAGCAAGTGTATTAATTTTGTTTTCCTTCAGTTCTCTTTTGTGTTACAGGTCAACTTCAATTAATTTTTTTTAACCTGAGTGGTACTCATTTCTTACATGGAGAAAAGCAGTTGTAATTTGTGTTTTGACACCAGGCTTTTCTGTGGAGTCTGTGGGAATGAGCAAAGCTGTGCATTTAAAAAAAAAAAAAAAAAAAAGAGAGAGAGAGAGATTTAGTTTATGAAATGTCAACAAATAAAACTGTGGAAAAAATGCCATCATTTATTTAAACTGTCTAAAGATGACTTCAATTTTTGTCTGACCAAGAATCATACCCAAAACTACGGGTATGTCCTATGATTATACCTTTGCTGTATTTTGTTACTTTCAAATGTAGTCATTATAGTTGCCTTTTTTTATGACCAAACTTCTTGTGCTTTTCATGCTTTCTCTCAGGTTTCTCAGTGAGAACTTAATCTCCTTCCTCAGTCCCGGTGTGTTCGGGGATCTAAATCAATTGGAGTGGCTGTAAGTAACTCAAAAGCATACAGATGTGCACTTTCAATAGTCACAAATACGAATACATGGTAGCAAGGAGACTGTGTTAAAAAAAAGTTATCCAAAGACTGCAACATTTTGTTAATTTTGCTTTTAATTTTAAAGGTTGAGATGCAAAAGTTGTCCATTTGATCCACAGGTTGGAAACAAATCCACTAGCTGGATATAAAATTATTTATTTAAGCAGCAGAGTGGAGAAGTGGAAATGGTGCAAAAATAACAAGTTTAAACGGTGCACAGATGTGTGGATTGAGCTTTTTTTCTACCCGTGAAATCTTACTTGACTCAAGTAGTTTTTTCCCTTCTTTCTAAATTCTTCTGTAAAACACAAGAGCTAATGTTGTACTGTATGCTGCTATTGTGAAATACTGAAAATCACATTTGTTTAAAAATCATATTGGGTCACATTTGTAACACTTATCTAAAGAAATTGTAATCACCAATGACTTATTTAATGCAATTAAGCAGTCAAACTGGGTAATCTTGTTTTGTGTGTCAGGATGTTGGACCATAACCCGCTAAGCAGCTTGTCCCAGGACACCTTCACTGGGCTCCAGTCTCTCATGTATTTGTGAGTTGCATTTTTCTTTTAATATTATGTAATAATTTTGACTTGGATTTGTTTCTAGTCTAGGTCTACTCTGAGGTCTTCACTTACAAAATCAAAAGTCTTAAACTCTTGCAAACCTGAAAGCACTCAGTAGGAAAATAAACCTTACTTTGCAGCACATGTTCTTTGCTTTGGCAGCTCACTAAAATATTTTTGAATGTTTGCCTCTGCCACTGGTTTCTCTCAAGACTTGTACCAACGATGATGTTTCATCTTTTATTTTGGGTTTTTATGAATGTCTTACAATAGGCATTGATTTTGTCACATAATGCTGGTTCAAGGACCTAAATGCAGACTCGGGAGATAAAATCATCAAACAAAAGGCAAACTTCTTATTGAAGGTGGTGGCAGGGCACATTGGGACAAAAATGAAATCCAAATTCTTCAAACGAGCAGTGACACAGCGATGATTCAACAGACACAGTGAGAAAGACTTCAAGGAAAGACGAGTCTATTTATACACATACGCATACTCTAAGGTCATCAGGGTAAGTGAAAGCAGAAGGTAAACAAGACACAGTTTGAAGACAATGAAGTCAGCGAGACAAGAGGAAGGAAGTAAAACTAAACTCAAGACACGGGACAAATAACTGCCCAAACAAAATGGAAAGTTAGAAACAATAACTAAACAGAGAAATGCAGACAAATAAATACACTTGACATGAAACACTAAAGGATTAAAAAACAACCTCTAATACAAACCAAAATGAGAGTTAAGAGCAAAACAAAATAAACGCTATAACCAAACTAAGAACTGATGATCGAAGATTTTAGTAAACAAGGCCAAATATTCCAAAGAGTCCAATATCCTGTGCCATGACACACTTCTGATTAACTAAGCTGAATTTAGGGCAGCTGATAGTAGGCTAACTAATCCATTGAGGCCTGGCTTAATTTGAGCTTAGTCTGTGAAACCAGCCATTTAAGGGAGGGAAGAAAGACTGTGACAGGAAGTTTTGTCATATTCCTTTGAACAACCGTTTTACCTACTTTCACTTAACCCCTTGAACTCAACACAGAGATATAGTGGTAGAAATGTGAATACTGGAGTAAAGTGATGACAAGTAACACGCTTAACTTCGTTTTTCATGACTCACAGACTACTTTAATCATATTTTAATATACTTTCTGAAACCTGAGCTGTCGTTTGGGAAGTATTTATAATTTCTCCCAGCTGTTTGGGTTTAGTTGGATCAGATAATGTAAAAAATAAAAAAAAATCATAATCTTTTAACAGATATTAAGTCATCTTATGGGGACAATGGCTTAATATCAACAAAGTATTAAACACTTTACTGAGCAGGATGACGTATAAGGTGCAGAAAAGCCAAAACGTTATGTACCCATATGACGCAGGGTCTCAGGAGGTCAGGTCCTAAAGCCCTGGATTAATTTACACTAGGTAATGCTCAATCTCTCTTTACCTATTTTCCGCCCATCGTTCCCTTTAGATTAATTCCTTCTACTCTGTCCACTCTGACTCATAGACCTGGCCTAGCTCAACCCTAGCTGCTGCTCTTTCCACGACATGAGAACGTGATTTTAGTTCTCACAATACAATTTCTTGGAAATCAACTTCAGACCCGTCACCCTGAGCTGCATCTGCTTGGCTCATTCTCTGCATGTTTTCTTAAATCCAACCACAACAGGTATCCGTCTCACGAAATAACCCTTTTAATGTTTATGTTTCAGACATAAAATGTGTTCTCACTCCACCTGCCTCCTCAAAGAGTGTTTGCACTTCCACGGAGGGACTGTTAGACGGGGATGACCATATGTCTCTCATTTGATTCCCCATTCATCTTTGGAATCAAAGTCCCTTGTCCTTACTGAAGTGTTGCCACCCAAAATATTAAACATTGTTTTGATATGGAAACTGTTTCAGAGTTGAGGTCTGCCTGTGCCATAATTCTTAAGCAAATAGGGATTTTTTTACTCCACATAGTTAATAAAACCCCATCAGCTACCATTTATATAGCTGGCTCAATGTCTGATTTTTTTTTCTTTTGTTCATCTCAGCATCAGCAGAGATTTGAAGAAAGAAAATTACAGTGAACAGTTTGGTACATCCATTCTGTTATTGTTTGGCAGTGCAGTTGTGAGCATATGTCATTCCTGCCTTGGAAGAACTTATGTATCTAGCATATTTCTTGAGGAATGAAGCACGCTTCTCATTGGTTAGAGGGAAGTCAGTTTGACACAGCTGTCCAAGTCCAGAACTGGCAAAACATCCCTACACTTGAATATTCCTACCACCTCATTTCAGTGTGGGCTTGATGCGCTGCCATATCATTCTCTGTCTTGTACATCTCAGACTTCTATTACTGGCAGAAACCAAAAACTTGGTTTCATCAGAAAACTGAGTTTTCCAGTCATCCGCGGTGAAATGCGGATATGTCTAAGCCCACCCAAAGCATCTGGACATGTGTTCCTTTCCCGAGAAGTGATTTAGAAGAGACCTTTTTCTATCACTGATGAGAAGCTTGATGTGTATCTTCTTTGAGGTCATAGCATTTTGGTCTCTCCGGCCATGCTTTGGATAAAAATGCTCCAGTTTCAACCCCTTGATTTATAGCAGGTGAACAATGGCTGCAAGATCATTTAGTTAATTAGCCTCTAATAAATGTAATACATCCACCTGTGTGATATGAACAAAAGATACAACTCAAGGAACTGTAAGCTTTTAGATAAAACAGGTCCGTGCAAAACAATCAAGCTTCAACTTCATGGAGAGAAAAAAAATACTCAGAATTTCTGATTTTCTCAGCAAAGATGTACCTGTAACTTTATTTTGAAAGGTTCGTGGGTGGACATTCTTTTGTACATGCAAATATACTTACTAGAGATGGACTGATCCGATATTACATATCGGTATCGGTCCGATACTGACGTAAATTACTGGATCGGATATCGGAGAGAAATAAAAAATGTAATCCGATCCATTAAATATCAAAAAAGCACCTCACAAAACTTTCGACACGGCGTAACTCTCCTCATAACCGTACCACGTTGGAGCAGTGTGCTCACGTGATAGAGCGGCTTTGTGTATTTGTAGCTTTGCTACCAAACCAGCATTTCATCTCCAAGGAAGTGATCCCAGAGAGAAGTAAAGCAAGTGTGTAAGTTCATCTCTGAATGTCTGTAAAGCATTCCCGCGTTAAGCTTAACAACCCATATATGGAGCGACTGCCTCTTCTCTCCCCCTCCCTCTCCTGCTGCTACTTCAATCATGAAACTGCTTAATGATCAGCTGATCGGCTTTTCTGTTGCGAGTCCATCTCTCTTGTTTGTTTATCTCCCACTTTGCACCAGAAAGAGGAAACCAGCGGCTGAATAACAGAAGCACGTTTAAGCTTGATAATCTGTTGTTAAAATTTATTTAATATTACTTTCTAGACCAGGATCCTTTTCTATGCAGCTGATGGCTGGTAACTGTGCAGGGGCGGATCTAGCAAAGTTTAGCCAGGGGGGCCGATAGGACATGAACAGGGAGAAGGGGGCACAAAGACATACTTTTCTTTCTTATTCTCATTTAAAATGTCTAGCTTTTATTAAATAATTATCTGAATCTTACACCCAAAGTTTTAATTTGATGTAAAATGTAAATAAGTCCATTACTGTATATAGTAACTATTAAGTCTAATATACCCTAGTAAGCTATATTACTTTTTCCTTTGGGGAGGTACCATCTGTGCAGTCTGCAGTTCTGTTAAAGAAAGATGTTGAATCTATTTAATAATTCTTGAAAAATAATTTATTTCTGTGCATTTTCTTTCACACTGCATCAAATTAAGGTTGATTACGTCGATTAAGCATCATGAGGTGGAGCGTGAGGGGTGGTTCCTTATTTTTTTTGTTTGTTTTTTTTGTTTTGTTTTTTTGCTGGGAGTTTTAGAGCCCTATTAGTTAGGTTGCTTACTCTTTAAAATACCAGAATAGGGAGGATGGAGTAGGTTTAAGTTTATTAGATTGATCAGTATTGCTGAACTATGAAATATTTTGGGTGCAGTGCATTTTTTGCATACAGATATAACAGAATAGCTTTAGTGTTTGTTTGTTTTTTTGTTTTTTTTAACTTAAGTATGAACTTAATATTAAAAAAACGTTTTATTGATTAAAAAACACATTATGTCGGATTCATATTGGTATCGGCCGATATCCAAATTTATGATATCGGTATCGGACATAAAGTGCTATCGTGCCATCTCTAATACTTACCTTTCAAAATGTATATAAAAGTTCCTGGGACATAATTTAATAACATCCCAAAGTCATATAAACTGTGTGATAATGTCGTGTATACACGAACTTTTCTTTTTAGAATTTACAGCCTGCCTTGCTGGTGAAATAACAGCCTGTACATAAACAAAGATAATAAAGTTATGAGTCAAGTATATGACATGTGAACATTTTTCCATGCAAACATGTTGCTGCTTCATGCTGTCTGTCTGACTTTTGACTCACTTTTGCTTGACTGACCCCCGATCCTACACTCTGAGGATCAGCACATTTATATATGGATGACAAGAAGTCCAGGAGTAAATTGGCCCTTAAAAGTCACAGTCTAAGCCTTACATCTGTTTAGTAGTCACTCTACAACTCTGTTCAGTCCTATTTAGTTTTGCGATTAAATGTCTTCCTCCCCCCTTCAGGTCCATGGTGAACACTTCACTGCAGCAGCTTCCTCATCCAAGCTTCTGTCAACACATGCCTGCCTTGGACTGGCTGTGAGTGAGAGTGTACTTGTGTGCATGCAGGTGTGTAGTGCATGTGATGTTAGTGCACTAAAAAGTGTAGCAGTTATGCTGATGTGTGTTTGTCCTTGTTTGCATATATAAATAACAAATTAAACTGGTATTATAGAGGTGATACTGAGTTGCATGACGGTTTGAGTCAGCCGATATCTCTGGGGTTGCTCAGATTTGCTTTATTTTTTTCTGAGCAGATTAAGTGCAAGAAAAAATATTCCATTTATTTTTTCTTTCATAACTTTTACCAAAGATCTATGAAAATTACACCCTTATATTTGTATGTTTAGTAAATGTACATTTTTATTTTCCCTCTCCTCCTGTTTTCACTACTCTCAGGGATCTTGAGGGAAACCAGATTCAAACTCTTAACTACTCTATCTTAAAGACATGCAGCAAGCTTGAAGTTTTGTGAGTATCCTGCTTTATTAAAAGTTCAATAAGAATGCTGAAAGCTCAGGGTTTAAATCTGCGCACCACACAGAAAGTTTCCCAAAAGATAAGGTAACGAGAGGTGTTGTTTGATCTTCAGATGCTGCATATATACTCAGCAGCTACTTTGTTAGGTACACTTGTTGAACTACTCAATAACACAAATATCTAATCGGCCAAACAAATAGCCGCAACTCTGTGCATGTAGGCATGAAAACATGGTCAAGACGACCTGCTGAAGTTCAAATGAATGTCACGAGGCTGAAGAAGTCACTTGAATGAGTGACAAAACGTTGCTCCCACTGAAAACACTATGCCCAGATGAACATAATCAAGTTTTTAGGATGTCTAAAGAAGACTGTAAAAATGTTGTCTGGTCTCATGAGTCATGATTTCTGTTGCAACATCTGGATGTTAGCATTTGGCATTAACAACAAGAAAGCATGGATCCATCCTGCCTTGTGTCAAAGCTCGGGTTAGTGGTGGAATAGTGTTGGGGATATTTTCTTGGCACACGTTGTGTCCCTTCAGACCAGTGGAGCATTGTTTAAACACAACAGCCTACCTGAGTATTGTTGCTGACCATGACCACAGTGCACCCATCTTCTCATGGCTCAGATCACTTCGAACTGGTTTCTTGGACATGGCCTCTCAACATCTCAACCCAGTAGAGCAGGTGTTTCAAACACAATGGCCCAACAAAGACAAAACTATGCATAAGACAAGACCCCCCCCCACAGCCATTCAAATTAGTAGATAAACAATTAAATAAAAAGTTTGTCTTTCATTTTTTTGCATTTTACAAAGTGTCCACAGTAAAAAGAATCACTTGTTGAAATGTTGCTCGTGTCAGAACTATAACAGAATGTGATATAGATACAATATTACAGCTGTTGCATTGTTAGTCTACAGCAAGTGTTAGTTAAGTGTAATGAGGATGTGTTTGTGCATGTTTAATATATCTCTGAGGTCTCAGTTGTGCCTAAACGCAGTTAATGTTGTGTTTACAGGAAATACATTAGAAATGATGGACTTTTCATATATCAATGCAGTTAGTTAATCATCCTTAAGGGACTTAAGTGGCTTAAGTTTTTAGAAAATCTCCCACTTTAATCCTTTAATTATGTTTTATTCATTTTATTTTATCTGTTCATCTAAGTTTATCTCCTGTTCTCTCCCCTTGGCGCGCCCACCCTCAGACACACTTGTTTTCTTTTTATTTATTTCATTAATTAACAAAACAAATTCTGCTGTGCAATCAGATCTTTAAGAAATTGGTCAAACAAGCATAGAAATAGAAATTGGCGCAACTAAATGTGACTATCAGGCCTGGCCTAAACTTGCTTGGAAACTTGGCTCAGGCCAAAAATTACACTGTGGTAGGCAGGCCTGCTGATCTTGGCTTAATTAGGCTTCTCACCAGCTCTTTTCCTGCAGTCATACTTGGAGTTGGCCTCGGCATGCAATCATGTCACTAGACCCAATAGCTCTGGAGAATATGCTTAAGTAAAGCTTTTCCTGGGCACATTGTGCTCTTCATTTATTTTTATCCCAGATGTGGAGGGTCACTGGGTTAAATAGGACATAAACAGAAATTAATGCTCTGGGTTTTAGTCTGCCAGGTTATTATTCCAGGTCCGTCACTACCATGTGATAGTGAGCTTGTGGGATGGCACCTATTCATTCACTTGTCACCACATCTGCCAGAACACCATGTCTGTTGATTCAACTATAGGGTCAGTGGATTGTGTATATGGATCTTTTGCTTCCCACTGTCAACACGATCACCTCATACACCAACAGAAGCCAGACAAATGCCATACACTTAAATTTAAGCTCTTCCACTTCGGTGAGCCAAGTCGCAATCTCCTTGGTGGATGCTGCATCCCTGACCTCACCAAGGCTGCCGACTTGCTGTTTCACAAATGGCCCTGCAAAGCCCAACAGTAAAGCCTGTTGTTTTTAGGACCTATCAGAGCAGCTCATGTGCCTCAGAGGAGGTTAAACTGAGATCTAGACAGAAGTGCAATCAAGGTTTGTTTCAAATGAATGCATGTGCGGCATTTTTAAACTCCACAAATAAAAACACAACATAGGGCTGAGAGGAGATGAGCCATGAGGTTTGGCAGTGAAATGAGCTGAATTAGAGGAAAGGATTCACACGAAGTTCAGTGAGTACGGAGGCCTAAGCAGGGTCATGCAAACTTTGAGGACATGGTTAAGACTGACTAAAGTAAATGAGATTGTATCCATTTATACCAGTTTTCCAACAGCACTTTGCAGCTCTCTGCATGGTTTCTGACAGCAGCTCTGCCTTCTTCAGGTTACTGATAGACAACAGGATTAGGACAATTCCCGAAAACACCTTCCAGTCTCTGTGGAAGCTGGCCGAACTGTGAGTAAGAGCATATTCACAGAAAGCCAGTAAAACCATGTCAAAATAAATAAATAAATATACACCACTGTCTTCAAGTTCACTCAAAGAGATTCTGGTGAGGCTGGTGTTAGAGAGGTTTTGTTCTGATGAGATATGAAGTGTCAGGGATGAGTAAGAAAAGAAACCTGTGTAGAATTTCATGCAAACATTATGTATCTGCACATTTATTTAAAGCCTTTGCTGTTTTCTATGCATGTTTACGCTGTCCATGTTTGGAATTGAATGAGAAAAATGTAAATGTGCTATAAAATGAGTCAGGAGGTTTAATTTTTCCCTTGTTTCTCTTTCATCCTCTTTAGGGATCTGTCTAGGAACAGGATTAGGGAGCTGCCAAAAAACACCTTCAAGAGTCTCTCCAATTCCCTCCTTAAACTGTGAGTAAATGATAGTGTGGAAAATCATTCGTCATTATGTGGGTTTTTTAACAGGACTGAATTAGGACAAGGTCTAAAGTAGGATTAAGAAAAAATAACTTTGTGAAGGTTTCTGAGAATGTGACTTATTCTTAGTGGGATACATGGTGGCTGTAATCAGATGCAGAATAAAACTATTTTTGTTGGAAGCTCTGAAAGAAAGAATTTATAATGTAAAAGAAAAATCAATCACGAAACTGTTGCATTGAGTTAAAATAATAAGTGCAAGCATCATATTTTTAGATAAACTGAGTTTATTTATGTGCCAATTCTATATAATCCTCCATTAATCCTCTTACTTCATTTTCATTTAGTGGTATTTTGAGCTTCTTTTCCACTGTGTGAGAGGAAAATGATATATAGTAATGTAACATAAGAAATATTTACAAACTGAAGACAGGCAGTAAAATCCTGCATCAAACTGCAGTATGTAGTAGGGTTTTTTTGTACTTGATATTTAAGTATTACTTCACTGTTTGTGAACCACAATGTATGATGACTTTGACTTCTCTGATGTAGGCGGTTTCAAAGGCTCATCAAATCAAATATGATACACTCAGCGTTACAAGGTTAACTCTGATCGTCCGTGTAACTCACAGTTTTAGAGCTGCTCCTCGTATGCATTGTGTCGTGCATTAAGGCATATGGACTGTTTTGATTTTGTAGTGTTAATTGTATGTATAAAATGTCTCAGCCTTTTCTATGCATACTCAAATCTTCCACTTATTACGTAAAAACAACATTTCTGTACTTTTGCCTCTTAGTGCTGAAGGGAAAAAATTTATCAAAATGAATGAACTTTGAGACAAACCTGTTTATGAGCAGCAGCTGAAGACCTTTTTTTGGGAAAGGAGGGGCCAGGACTGGAGATGCTGTCAGTCAGAGTAACAGCGCATGAATAATTGCTTTCATAAAACTATTGCGCTCCAGTTGGTCCGCTGGCGCCGTGTGTGTGTGTGTGTGTGTGTGTGTGTGTGTGTGTGACTCCCTAACGATCACTAGCTAAGACTTAACTAGAACAATGAGATTAGGCTATTTTCCACAGCACGAGCTATCCATGGAAACGTTTTTGAGTCTTGTTGATCTCACACCTCACAGGAAAGAGACAGGCGGAAAAGGCGGATTAGGGGTCTGCTATTTGAATCACTCGCATCACAGAAGAATTGCTGTTTATTGAGACTTTTGGGACAATCTGCTGCCCTCATTCGATGTCACATAATGCACATACAGTAACACATCCAATGGAGTGCATCCCCCTTTCAGTGACAAAACGGGCCTGGCCCATCAAGGGTTGGACTCGACTAGACCCCGGAAGGTGTGCTGTGGTATCTGGCACCAAGATGTTAGCAACAGATCCTTCCATCGTGTAAACTGTGAGGTGGCGCTTCCATGGATCAGACTTATTTCTCCAGCACATCCTACAGGTGCTCGATTGGATTGAGATCTTAGGAATTTGGAGGCCATGTGAACACCTCAAACTCATCGTTGTGCTACTTTTTGCTTTTTGGTGCCCTGCAGTGGACACACTGGGTCCAAAAAGCAGCATGGTCAACATGGGTACCATGAATGATCTGTGAAAATGCAGCACAATACACAACAAACTGTGATGCACAGTATATGCTGACATGTTTTCATCAGTTTGCAGTACAACAGCTCATATGTTGGATCGGACCACACAAGCCAGCCTTCGATTCCCACCTGCATCAATGACCCTGCTGCTGGTTCACCACTGTTCTTTCGTTGAACCACTTGGGATAGATAGTGACCACTACAGACTGGGCACACCTCAAAAAAGCTGCTCTGACCCAGTCGTCAACCCATTACAGTTTGGCCCTCGTCAAACTCGCTGAAATCCCTACGCTTGCCCTTTTTTTTTTCTTGGAAGTGCAGGCTGATCTCACAGATCACTGCTGTCACTTCAAAAGCTGTCCATCGTGAAGTGACTTACAAAGCAGGAAAAAATTTATTATGTCAAAGTATCAAAATATGCTATTGCACAGATCTATCCTGCCATTGCTCATTGCAACATTTCTGGCTTGTAGTTATTCAGGCCCTCTAAAGAAGACTTTAAATCTACTCTAAACTATGTAATCTGAGCAGGGGGAAAAGTGCAGAAAGCATTCTGTATCTAATGTCAGGTGTAATTGGACACAGACCTGTTTTTTTACTTGTTTTAAACAATCAAGGATGTCAGGAATGTACTGTCCATTTGTTATATTTCATGTTGACAGGCTTTGTTGTGTTTATCATCTGTTTCTTGTTTCAGAAATATCTCCCATAATCCTCTCCTCCGTATTCATCCAAGCCATTTCCACCACCTGACACATCTTCAGTCTCTGTAAGTACTCTGACATATACACGTTTGCCTGTTTTTATACATGTGAGGACCTTTATTGCCCTGAGCCTCAAACATCACAACTACATGCTTAATTTTAATAACTTTCCTCTAAATGTTATTCTAACCTCAATCATGAATACTAGTTTAAATCTTCAAACACTTCTTTGAAGTCATCTGGGACTCTCCAGAATATCTTTCTAATGCATTAATGGCTTCTTCACTTTGATGTCTTAATGCTGAAATTGGTCTTCAGAGTTTGCTGTAGTCTAGTGCGGTGGTGAAATCTGTTATTTCCTACAGAGCGCTGGAGGGAATTGAGATCGCAGATATTCAGACTAAGGTGTTCCTTCCCATGAAGAACCTCTCCCACATGTATGTGTAACACACAGCCGTCACTTCAGAAGAACCAGCATGTTTTGTCATCTCTTCTTTGTCGGTTGTGTTTTTGTTTGTTTTTTACAATTTTTCTCTTTTCTCTACAAGCTATTTCAAGAAGTTTCAGTACTGTTCCTATGCACCTCATGTGAGGTCCTGTAAACCCAACACAGATGGCATCTCTTCTTTTGAGGACCTCCTGGCTAACATGGTGCTGCGGGTGTCTGTCTGGGTCATGGCCCTCATCACCTGCTTTGGTAATCTGTTTGTCATCGGCATGAGGTCGCTGATTCGTGCTGAGAACAACCTGCATGCTGCCTGCATCAAAGTTCTCTGCTGTGAGTAACAACGTAGCACCGGGTCAGACAGTCTCGCAAAATAAAAGTACTTGTAAAAGCAGCAATAAATCTAAATGTCAAGCTGTTCTTTTGGAAAGTGAATAAGTCAGCTTAGCCTTGCTTCTATCCAATGAAACAGGATGAAGAAGTTTGTTATACTGGGATGGGATCAAACTGCTTGGAGACTTCCCAATCTACACACTTCTCCTTCATTCTCCTCTTTCACATTCCCTGTGCCTTTCTATGCCACTGTTGCAAAGCCTACTCCAAAAATGCAAAAACTGGGATGTTTTGTAAAGTGGAAATAAAAACAGAATGCAGAAATGAAATAAGGAAAAAGTTCCAGATAAACTATCAGCTCATTTTGAAATCGATGATAGCAAAATTTACCAGTGTATAGCATCCTGCCTTCATTTAACATCAGTCCATAAAAGTCTGGGACCTGAGGAAACCAGCAGCTGGACCTTTAGAAGTGTAGCCTTTTCCCATTCTTGTCTGACAGAGGAGTCTAGCTACTCGGCAATCCTGGGTCTAATGCACCCTCATACCATTAGAGAGCCAGGCATCCATGTTTTCCAAAATGAATTTTAAATTTCAATTTGTCTGACCACAGAATAGTTTTCCGCTGTGCCTCAATCCACTTTAAATGACCTTTGACCCAGAGAAGATGGTAGCATTTCTGGATCATGTTCACATATGGCTTGTTCTTTGCATCATCACTCTGCCTCTCAGAGATGCTCTTTTTATACCCACTCATGTTTCTGATTTGCTGCCAGTGATCCCAATGAGTTGCAAAAAGTCTCTGCAGCTGTTTCTTTTTAGTATCACTTACTTTTGTTTTCTGTGTTCTGTTGTGAATAGCACGTCACTATGGGTTTATGAGATTGGTATTTGTGTTTACACAGGATCCCAACTTTTTCTGGATTTGGATTTGTAGTTTGCGTCTCCCCTCATGGTAAAAAGCTTCCCTCCCTGAGTCTGTTTCTACTTGAGGTTGCTTCCTCTTTAGAGGGAGTTCTTTCACCACTCTGTTGTCTATGGCTCGCTCATATGGGATTGTCCAATCAAACCATGGGATTGTGGCTATATTAGACTGTCTGGAGGCAAAATTGTTTCCACTTGGTTTGTTTCCAGAAGTAAAAACATGTTTAATTTTTTTTTTAATTTAATGTCAGAAATCTAACAGCATTGTGTTAGAGAAAACAAAAACAAGAGACTAACTCACTAAGACTCTGAGATGGAGGGAAAAGGAAATGAAGATGTTTGCTGCAAACCATGCAGGTTTTTGGTTTTTTGTTCTGCTGTACTTCTTAAATTGTTTACTTTGTCTTATTTGTACATTATTTATGGAGCACCTTTTCTTTGGAGATTGCAGATAGTTGCTTCTTTAATGTGAGGAGCAGATTGTTCTTTTGTTTTTGTTTTTTTGTTTATTTACTCTGTCATTAATGAATAAGTAAAGAAACATAATCATCTAACTCAAGGACGGGCTTTCTAGGAACATTAAAAATTTGATATAATAGATTAGACGTGAGAAGCAAGTGGGCTTGAGTTCAGATCCTTAATTAATAAATGGAGGTCAATTTTGAATCTGTGAGAAATGCCTCTTAAAATGCAGTTGAGGTCCTGTCAGATCATTAAAGAAATTCACAGTCACTCAGAGATTGTTTGAGCAGACCCCCACCCCCCAAACCTCGGGTTGAGAGGTTTAACAATAAATATATCAAAATTTGTAGCTAGTTGTGAAACTTTAGCAGCTATAATACATTTAACATCTCACTAAAATTGCATTTTTAATCCAGGGGTGTCTTTGGTTACAGGGAATCATGTTTTTACAGCGGTAATAACTTAGTGAAGAAGAGATTATTGTGCAGCTATTAGTAAGTATAAATTTAGATTGCCATAGTCTTCTTAAAATTAAGATGCTAGCCACAACGACTGAAAATATGCTTTACGTTTAATTTCTAATATTCTAATAAGTAATTACACAGGACACAGAGGGTTCATGTAGTACTCATAAATATACTTTGATTAGTGTGTGATTACATCTTCCAACAAATTGATCTGTTCTCAAAAATTCTGATTTTATCCATTAAAAATACAAAGGAGCATGCATCGGTTTGTGGAAGCCACCAACAACAACAGCTGGTTATAAGCTAACATCATGTATCCAAAAAATCACAGTTTCCTTCTCATAAACAGTTTGTTTATATTCTTGAACCATAGGGTAGCGTTTTTTTATGAGGTGTCCGTTAGAGCCACTATAAAGGAAGTTTCACTAATGTTAATGTTAATGACTAACAGCAGCTAACAACAGCATTTCCCAACAGAAAAGTTTAGCATATCTCAAACAACAATCACTTCAGTATCACTGTCATCAGACGTGAGCTTCACTGTCTCATCGACTCATATCGGACTCCTTTCACAAAGTTTTACAGCCTCCTAATAGACACCAAACAAACTGACAGCAGACTGACAGCCTACACTCCCTACAGATGAACAGACACCAGAGCTGTTTGTCCTAGAGTGGCCACCATACCTAAGATTATGCACTTGAATTGGGAGGGGTAAGAAAACAGTTGACTGCAATCTAGTGCATCTAGATGTAGTGGTGAGATTTTACACACAGTTTTAGTCAACGCTTACCTAATTTCTTTCCAGCCCACCTACACTGAACAAAAATATAAACGCAACACCTTTGTTACTGCTCCCATTCCCCATGGGATGGACGTAGAGACCTAAAATTCATTCCAGATACACAATATAACCATCCCTCCCAAACAGTGGTCACAAATCAGTCCAAATGTGTGGTAGTGGGCACATCTGCTATATTGAGATAATCCATCCCACCTCACAGGTGTGCCACATCAGGATGCTGATCTGACATCATGAGTAGTGCACAGGTGTACCTCAGACTGCCCACAACAAAAGGCCACCCTGGAATGTGCAGTTTTTTGCGCTATTGGGGGTCTGGGGACCCAGAACCGGTCAGTATCTGGTGTGACCACCATTTGCCTCATGCAGTGCAACACATCGTCGCATGGAGTCTATCAGATTGTCAATTGTGGCCTGTGGAATGTTGGTCCACTCCACTTCAATGGCTGTGCGAGGTTGTTGGATATTCGTGGGAACTGGTACACGCTGTCGTATACGCCGGTCAAGCACATCCCGAACATGCTCAATGGGTGACATGTCCGGTGAGTATGTTGGCCATGCAAGAACTGGGACATTCTCAGCTGCCATCTGCCCTGAACAATGTGAACCATGATTCATCCGTGAAGCGCACACCTCTCCAACGTGCCAGACGCCATCGAATGTGAGCATTTGCCCACACAAGTCTGTTACGTCGACGAGCTGGAGTCAGGTCAAGACCCCGATGAGGACGACGGGCATGCAGTTGAGCGTCCCTGAGACGGTTTCTGACAGTTTGTGCAGAAATTGTTTGGTTGTGCAAACCAATTGTTCCAGCAGCTGTCTGGGTGGCTGGTCTCAGACGATCTTGGAGGTGAACCTGCTGGATGTGGAGGTCCTGGGCTGGTGTGGTTACACGAGGTCTGCGGTTGTGAGGCCGGTTGGATGTGCTGCCATATTCTCTGAAACGCCTGTGGAGACGGCTTATGGTTGAGAAATGAACATTCAATGCACGGGCGACAGATATGGTTGACATTCCTGCTGTCAGCATGCCAATTGCACGCTCCCTCATTGCTTGTGGCATCTGTGGCATTTTGCTGTGAGACAAAACTGCACATTCCAGGGTGGCCTTTTGTTGTGGGCAGTCTGAGGTACACCTGTGCACTACTCATGATGTCAGATCAGCATCCTGATGTAGCACACCTGTGAGGTGGGATGGATTATCTCAATATAGCAGATGTGCCCACTACCACACATTTGGACTGATTTGTGACCACTGTTTGGGAGGGATGGTTATATTGTGTATCTGGAATGAACTTTAGGTCTCTACGTCCATCCCATGGGGAATGGGAGCAGTAACAAAAGTGTTGCGTTTATATTTTTGTTGAGTGTATCTGCATATAGCAAGATCCATCCATGCTTGTGGTTCCATTAATCTTGCCTGTTGTGGTGACTTAAAAAATATTATGATACTGTTTTTGGGAAGGATGTAGCTGACAGATGGGCTTATAATCACACAGGGCACATCTGCCTGTAAATAGACTCATAGATGTCATCCTTATCATCCAGGTGCTGACTGCCTCATGGGCGTGTACCTGTTTTTTGTTGGCGTATCTGATGTAAAATTCCGCGGTCAGTACAACCGTAACGCCCTGATGTGGATGGAAAGTGCGGAGTGTCGGACCATTGGATTCCTGGCCATGCTCTCCTCAGAGGTACTGCCCATGTATATATCACACTTCAACACACGCAAATATGCATGCAGATTGAGACAAACTGATCTGTACTGTAAAACTGACACATCACAAGGAGTTGCACTTACACATCCTTCACTTTTTGCTTGTACTTTTGCCCTGCTGTTTTCAGCTAAAGTAGCTTCAAGATTAAAATCATCTTTTGTTCCGCTCACTGGCTGTATCAGCTTGTTTCGGCTCTGCATTATATAAATATCATGTTTGCAGACTAAGGTACTCATATTATGCTCTCTTTTACTTTAAAAACGTGTTTATAATTCACTCTCACTCATTGCTTTTAGCTGTTGCAGATGGAGACATAACAAGCCTCAGCTGGAGTTTAACAACCTGTCTCAGAACTTTATGCACTTTCCAGGATAAATCATCATTAGACTGACTTTATAAATGATGTGAACCCAAGTTCCATCCTCTGCATGTTGATTCCTCTGTCATAATAGAGGTTCTACTAATAACAGTGCAGCCAATATTCAAAGCAGTGTTCAGTTTATAAGTTAAAAACATGTTGTTTTCATTTGCGGTGCATGTTTCTCCTCAGGTGTCTGTTCTCCTCCTGACCTACCTGACTCTGGAGAAGTTCCTTGTCATTGTTTTCCCTTTTAGAAATTTGCGCCCAGGCAAATTTCAGACCGGGGTAAGTTGCACTTTTCAAAATGGGGAACAATGTGCCTGATGAATGTCATCCAACTGTTGTCTTTGTCTACAAAGTAATCGTCACTCTTATTTTGAAGAAAAACTGCTGAAGAACACACTGCACAAAAGTCCTCAACGCTCACTGACTCAGTAACTGCAGAGCTCCAAACCTCCTCTGGCATTAACATCAGCACAAAAACTGTTTGCTGGGAGCTTCATGCCTTCAGTAGGTGTAAAGTGCAGGTAGCTCATTTTAGTCCACTAGTAATCTTAGCTGTAAGGGAAAACAGTTTGTGTGAAGAACAAAAGAGAGATATCCTTTGTTCTACTGGTTTGGTATGAAGTATAAAGTAACCCCTGAACATCACCATCCCCAAAATATTGACCATTTCCAGATTTACTACAGTCTACTATTCATTTTACTGCTTTGAACCAAGTCTAAGAGTCAGCCATTTACTGTAAATATGCCTCCACCCACCTCACATCCACCAGTAAAGAATTAAAAGACCTACTGCTTGTTCTCCCAGATTGTCCACACAGAGGCAGAACATGAAGTGACTCGTCAGTCAGCAGGAGGCAACTTGATTGAAGCAAATGCTTGAAATCTGATTAAATAAATGTCAACTAGAGTTTGGAAACCCAGGCAGTCATAACTTTTCTTATTTGGGGAATTTGAAGAGTACTTTGTGTGAAATCCTGACAGCATGTATGTTGTCCTGCTTTAAGGTGGTCCTGGCCTCGATCTGGCTGCTGGGGTTTATTATTGCAGCCGTGCCCCTAATGAATGAGGACGTCTTTGGGAACTACTACGGACGTAATGGGGTCTGCTTTCCCCTGCACTCTGACAGGCAAGAAAAACCTACTGCCAAAGGATATTCCACAGGGATTTTTCTGGGTGAATAGAAGATTTTGTTTTTCATGAATTTTCATTCCATATTTTATACTTACATAAGTAAGAGACAGCACTCAGAAGTGGGAATAATTCTTTGTATTATTGTAGGGTCTTTACCTTACAACATAAAACACCTTGAGGCAACTGTTGCTGTGATTTGGTGATGTATAAATGAAATTGAATTGAATTGGAGTTCAGTAAAATCTTTTTTTTTAAATTGTCTTTTTCAGAAAAGAAAGACAATCTTCCATTTAAACTTTAAACACCCAAAGAAATGCGAAATTGTTCATTATCACAGAATATACAAAGTGTAAAGTAAAAAAAACTACGCAGTACAAATCTGTGAAGCAGAACTGTCCTGTGTTCAAAACCACTTAAATACTGTATTTAATACTGTATGAACTGCATAACGGTGTTTGATATAGTCCCAGCCAGCATGAAAAGCATTTGTATCTCTTTAGGTCTAAACCTGGTGGCTTTCCTGGTGATTGTATTCTCCTACTCCAGTATGTTCTGCTCCATCTATAAAACCGGCATCAATGCCACCGACCTGAGGAGCGGACTGCACAGAGATGTGGCTGTGGCCAACAGGTTTTTCTTCATCGTGTTCTCTGATGCCCTCTGCTGGATTCCTATATTTTTGGTGAAAGTCCTCTCGCTGCTGGAGGTGGAGATCCCTGGTAAGAAGTGAAACATATATATGTGTGTATATGTGTATGTATAGATATATGTGTGTATATGTGTATGTATAGATATATGTGTGTGTGTGTGTATGTGTGTGTGTGTGTGTGTGTGTGTGTGTATCTATATATATATATATCTAGCAGTCCCTTCTTACGAATGCGTAGTGGTTAGACTACACGCCTTTGGAACACAGGATTGCGAGTTCGATTCCTGCCTGGGGCGTCTGTATCCAGTAAGGGTCCTAAGGCTAGACTATATAAAGCAAGCCTACCGCAGACATGAGCGAGACGGATAAATATGAAGGCATGCCGGCTCGGACGTCGCCCGGATCAACGAGGTCCGCATCAGGTGTTGAGGAACCAGGGTACCCTGACGAAAAGTGGGCTACTGGAACAGGAAGGCATCGGTGGGCAAGAGACAAAAAAAAGGGCGTTGTTGGAATGCTACTACGCAAGTAACCCCGGCGGAAGGGGCTACATGAATAGGATGAGGGACCTATGGATATATATATATATATATATATATATATATATATATATATATATATATATATATATATATATATATATATATATATCTCATATACATATATATATATATATATGTATATATATATATATATATATATATACATGTGTGTGTGTATATGTATATATATATGTGTGTGTGTGTATACATGTGTGTGTGTATACATGTGTGTGTGTATACATGTGTGTGTGTATGTATAGGTCACTGTGTTACTTTATTGAATAGTTTGCTAACAAGCATCAACACAATTATATTTCTCTAGATGTCAATCACTTGTGAAATGTTTCCTTCCTTAGGCACTATCTCCAGCTGGGTTGTCATCTTCATCCTTCCCATCAACAGTGCCTTGAACCCCATCCTGTACACCTTGACCACCAGCTTCTTCAGAGAGCAGGTGGAAGTTTTACTCTGTCACTGGCAATACTCCTAATACTCTTCTGCCAGGAGGAGTATTATGTCTGAAGAAAGACCGCAAAAGCCTTACCTCGTCCACAATCTTTATGGAGACATCACGGGGTCTGTGCTACCAGCCACCCATTTACCTCCAGCAGGTGTCACTTATAAGCGCAGATCCTCTCTATGCCTGATGATGTATTTGTAAAGATACAGCATTTTGTAAGCTACTAGTCCTTTTTTATTGTTTTACGTTCACATTCACACCCACATCCAGGATAGAATCACCAAATATCCTAACATGAACATATTTGGACCCAAATACAAATAGTACCCAAAGAGAGCCCATGCAGGCCAGACCTTTTTGCTTTGAGGCAAAAGACCTAACCACTGTTGCACTTCACCACTTGAATTAATAAAATATAATGAACATAATATAAAAATTCAAGATCTTACAACTGGTCCAGTCATAATTTATAAAATATACTGTTAATGTCAAGCCATCCTGAGGATGGCGCAGACCATAAAATGGGTGTCAAACATAGGGCCCAGGGGCTAGAATTGGCCAGGCAAAAACTCTAGTCCCATTGGGCTGCTTTGGGGAAATTGAAGGAGCTCATAAATCTTGGACTTTTTACAGCTTTTTTTCTACTGATAAAAACCACGCTCCCCACTTCCTCCCAGTGAAAACAGAACTTTTTTAATGATAGGACACTCTGGGCAATGAGCTACCAAAACTTTTTATGTAATTTTACACATTTATTTCTTACTGTCAAAGCCCAAAAGTCATTCTGACAGATTTCTTTTTATTTACTTACAGCAGCATTTCTTTATCACGTAAAAGGAGATGCCCAATTTAAATTGCACTTTTCATTAATCTGTTAAGATATAGGAGGGATTAACTGTGCAGTTAACTTCTTTAAAACGATAGAAAAGCGCATTTCAGTTAAGATGAAAATGAGCTTTATGTGGCTCATGTAAAATGAGTTTGACATCCCTGCCTTAAAATTCCTTAAGTCTATCAAGAAAAGTGTTTAGATGACTCTTGTAAAATACACACATAGATCCTAAACAGTCCCTATGGTGAACTTTTTATGAAATTTAGAAGCTGTGGGACAAACACAGAGAGACTGACAAATACCAGTGGCATAATATTAATGAAGAACATATTTTATATACAGAGCTATCCAGTTAATCTCTGCTTACCTACTGGTTTCTTTTTTGTCTTGCCCTTTAATTCCTCCATGCCCATCACTTTTTGGGTTTTTATCAGCTTGTTTAACTATCCTCATAATTCTTGGTTTCATGTCATATTCTTCCATTTACATGTACTGTATCTGCTTTGACTGAACTAATGTTGAAACTGAACCAATATGGTGCTGGCCCTTTGTGCCATAGTCATGCTGTTTAAGAGAACTGTTCTGAACTCTTCATTTGACTGACAACTTGGATGAAAGCATTTTGTACACGTATGTCATATTACATGTAATTAACAAACTGACAAATGAGGAGACTGAATTGCGACACTCTCAACATCTGCACATGAGACTTTGGAGCTGGACTTTTCCAGATTTCTTTCATGTTTTGATGACTGATTTTTTTATTTTTTTTTATCAGTGCACCAATGGACCTTTAAAAGCTCCTTTAACTTAGTGACAATCATTAAACGTGGAGGAGTTTAGACACTGATGACATGAAAAAGGAAAGCTGGACAGATAAATAAAAATGGCTGTTTAATACTTGCATACATTTCTCATTAATATGCCAAGCAATGGAATCCTAACAAGGCCCTTATTTCCTGTTATGCTGTATTGATCTGCATATGTTTGTTTAGTGTATAAAATTCGGTGTGCTTTTTGATGGTGTTTGTTGGTGTCAGGCTCTATATTGGTTTTTCTTAAATTAAATAACAATAAAAAGACATGAACTAACATGAAGCACATTCATATATTTTTGGCTTTTTTGTATGAGCAGTAGTAGGTCATTCTTTAAGGCTTTCTGTAACCTGAAAGGAAGACAGCGCAAACAAAAATAAGCAGTGGTGTACTTTATGTATGTTTATTTACATACACACGGAGATGAATATTTCCCTATTATAAAATGAGCATGACTGAAAACCTTGATTACCAAAAAACAGTGCTGGCATTGTTTTCCTCTATAAAACCATTATAGCTAAACTTCCAGTTTAGCTCTGTATCCCTCTCTGTCCACATACCAATAGCTACCAGCTACACTTCTCTAAATGGTTACTTTGTCACTTTGGACATGGGATAATTTACAAAACAGACCTACATTTAAACATCCTTCTATCTTCAGTTTATTTTCTCAAGATTCCTATTAGCTGAAGCAGTGCAGCACCTTTATTCCTGGGGTCACAAATCCTTACATTTTAATAGTTTGCTGTTAAACATACACACACACACACACACACACACACACACACACACACACACACACACACACACACAAACAAACAAACAACAAAAAACAGCTTCTCACAGCACAAATTATACCTGATATAACTTTTACAGATCCAGGCTCATGTTAACAGTTTCTAACTGTAGTCAAAAGTGTTTCTCTCTATCTGCAGTGGCACCAAATTCTATTCCTTAATAGCACCATCTAAAATACTTCTTATAACTGAATTGGTACTTGCTATCGGTAATACAAATTGTCCTCCTTGCTGATTTTTTTGTATTAATAAATATTAATAAAGAATTATAAATTTTTAATACAAAAAATAACATTTCTAATCAATTTAAATGAAAAATGAAGTAATATTTATATATTCAATTTAAAAGCATAATAAGTAATGTAGTGAAGGACACTTGTGGGTGTTTCTTTTGAGAAGTCATTTAATGCTTTAATCTTCTATGTTATGACTATTTTTAGCCATAACAATAGCACTCATATTTTATATTCATATTATTATGTGTAGGATTGTGCACATTTTGTTGTATTTCTAGCTTTTTCTTTTTTTTTTTTTAGATGTGTTAGGTTGTATGGTCTCTAGTTTAGCCAGGTTTCTTTTGTAAACGAGATGCTGTTCTCAGTGGGAGTTCTTGGTAAAAAAAAAAAAAAAAAAAGGTAATGATAATCACAATACAAAAATGAAGCTGTTTCACCTCCATATTAGTTTGTGCAGCTACGTATCATACACGTGCCTGTTATCCTGCTACAACGTGTCTTTGGACTTGTTTTCCACGGCTTTTACTTCTCTTGATTTGGTCTCACCTGCGGTTCTCAGCATCCTTTCATAGCAGGTGTCCTGCCCTTGGTCCAAGGTGCGCCCCTAGCGACACGTTTATGGACACAGCTGCTAACCAATAGGAAGCTTGTCTTGCCTCAGTTACCGGCTTCTTGGCGTTCGATTGGTTGCTAAGGGCGGGGCACTCACATCCCGAGCAGTAGCGCTGTCAGCTGAGGCGGCACGACTCCTGGAGGAGAGAGACGAGGAGGATTGATGAAAACAAGCCACCGAATCACATAAACAAAGAACTGGTGCTAGGAAATGATCCTGTAGTGGCCGAGGTCGACGCAGAAAAGGTACAGTTAATCTAAATGATTCGCCAGTGCTATGCCCGGTGCTTTTTAACGGCTCTGTGTCAACCACAAAGGGAACCGAGCAATTTCTTAATACAACATCGATAGCTCTAACTACCACGGGGGGCTTCTACTAGCTCTTTAGCAGCTGAGTTAGCCATAGGCTTAGCCGGTTACAGTGGTCGGCCATTAAAAGAAAGAAAAGGAGAATGTGACTTAACCTAAACTCGCTTCTTTAGTTGCCTCGGTGCCACCAACACAGCGAACAATGCCGAGCGGCTTTGTGAGGCAAGTTAGCTAAAGCAACAGTGTTTATCTAAAACAGCGACTATCATAGTAAATCACACTTTATGATGGCTACGCTACACTTTAGCTATCAGCGAGGGAGCTAATGTATAGCAGCAGTGTTACTTGCCAGTGATTACAGTCTGGGAGCATTTTTTAAAAAAAAGCGTGTCACGTCTGGAAGAGAAAACACGCACGTCTCTCAGTTCCGGTGCCCGTCTGATACCCTGTCTGGGCCTTTTGGACCCCTCACCGATGAGGTGTTTTTCGTCATTGAGAAGACGTATAGAGTTGTGGGCTGTGGATCAATGTGTAGTCCAGGTCGGGTGGTCTCCCGTTGTTATTATCCCATTGCTGAGATGTCCAGAAGCAGTCAGCTTGGATGTTTTGTGAGAGGAAGCCAGTGTTAGAGGATGTATCACAGCAGGCAGCAGTACCCTGCTGACTGTTTTAAATGTTTTGAAATCTGATTGATATTTAATAGGGGTTTTGTGCTCTTCTGTTGTGTTGTGTTGTACTGTGCTGTGGTGAAGTGTGCTGCTCACACTGTTCACACATCTCAGGCTTACTCCCTTTCTTTCTCATGAATCATAGTCCTCTTCATCACTCCAGCTTTTTTGGCACAGCCAGTCAGCAGCAGCAGTAGGAGTGACCCAGTTAACTCTATTGTTCTGGGTATGGATTTACGCTACAAGTAACACACACACACACACACACACGCACACACGCGCACACACACACACACACACACACACACAGTTTGACATGTGTGTCAGAGTATTGTGCTTCTCTGAGGTTCCTTCGATCCCTTTAAGTTTGTTCCCAATCTGGATTTCAAGATGTACAATTCCTGAAATCCAGACTGGTGTTTTTGGAATAAGTTTCCTCTACACCAGTCGAGTTTGATTTCATTTTTAAATAAGCATAATGCATTTGCACAGATAGTGATTATTCTTACAGATTCAAAGCTTATTTAAGGAAGTCCTTCTTTAATTGTTTGAATCTGAAACTTTTTTTAAGATTTAAATTTTCTTGTACTTGTTGTTTAATACGTGGAGGTGCTTTATAATGCGCTGCCCCACTCGGGCTTCAGTTGCCTTTGTAGCATGACTGATTTATACATCAGCACCACTGTAGTGGAGCAAAAAGCCCTGCATTTATTACCTTTTAGCATCATCAAACCACATTAAAAATTCATTTTGAGAGAAACTTTATTATTTAAAATTAGAATTGGCATTTGTTTCTGTGCTATTAGTTGTAGAGAATATTGGCTATTCAAACAAAGAGTTTGCTATCAGCCACTATCCATGTGAGAGTATCATTTTAAAATTTTTGGCCCTCTATTATCGGGTTTCTCAAGTTTTGTAGAGAAGCCTTCTTTCACCCCTTTTATGATACTTGAGACTCTGTTTTAGTATTTATTTATTTATTGTCATTGTCAAGAACAATGAAATTGCGTTTGGGGCTTCCATACAACCCAAAAAAAGAAGAAAATAATAAATACCCCTTAAAACCCAAGTGTACATATTTAACCCAGTGTGACTCCAATGCAATAAGACAATCCTTAGCAATAATGTTCGTAGAAATTCAGACAAAGACCTGAGAAACATGACAAAATACAACAATGCAACCCATTCAATATTATTGTACTGTGAGATATGATATCAGATATGATAGTTATCTATTTAAGAAAGAGGGGGGGGGGGGGGGGGGGGGCAGGAGGGGGAAGAGAATAAAGATATGATGCACCAATGCAGACCAGTTCATTGCTATTAAGAAGTTGGATATGGTTATTGTCCGTGAGAGGGGGCAGAGAGTTCAGGAGCCTCACAGCCTGTGGATACAGGCTGTTGGCCAGTCTGGATGTTCTGGCCTGTATAGACCTGTACCTTCTCCCTGAGGGCAGCAGATGGAAAAGGTGGCGCGCAGGGTGATGTTGGTCCCGCAGGATACTGTGCACCCTCCTCAGACAGCGAGTGGGGAAGATATTACTGATCTCTGGTTTTTTGGCACGTTAGTGTAAATGGCTGAGTTCTTTTAAGCTTTACCGTCTTTTTGTCGACAGGCCCTTCAATCCCGCTCACAGGTCACAGAGATCAGATCTAAGGAGCTCATGACAACTTTTTTTTTATTTTTTCCAGACAACTTTTAACATGAGTGGCAGAGACTAATCTGGTATAATGCTGCTGTAAGTTTCCAAAATATATTTTTGGAAGCTTAATTAAGGTTGTACGGTGTAGATGAGCATGGCCACCCTTTATTTGTTTAAGTAAATCTGCCAGAAAGTAACTGCTCAGCCATCTCCACACACACACGCGCGTATGTGTGAACAACAGAAAGTGCGACCTCACACTCTGGACTGGTGAACCTCAGTCAGCTGAGCTCTCTGTCTTTCCTCACCCTCTTTGTTCCCATAGATACCACTAGACACCTCACTCCCACTGCCTTACATAACGTGGTTCTTCTGCCAGAGACACACCAGTTGACTCACACACAGAAGACATCATCACACAGTCCTTACCATCACGCTCCCTGTTTGTTTTGCCCCAGGTGCTCATTTTATGGGTGTGCTGTTCTCTGAATATTATTCAGAGAGCAGCTAAATAGTTTTTGTCTTACATGGCCTGTTAAGCCTGTTTGAGCGGCGTGTCGATGTATTGATTTAACAAAGAATTAATTGAATTTGCTTGTGTGTGTTTTGTGTGTGTGTGTGTTTGTTTTAAGATTTTAGGAAATTGTTGAGGGAGCGTTGTTTCACGCCTGTAGATTTAATGGAGCTCTGAGGCTGTTTGATTATGCATTAGCCCGCACATTGGAGACTCCAGAGATACTGTTATATAACACAGCTCTATATGGAAAGACATATTGCTGTGTGTGTGTCTGTTTACACGTACACTTCAATGGCTAGTGTGATGTAATGCCGTGATGCATTTTTTTGTAATTGATGTTTTGATGTCTCATTTTGTTTTTAAAATCAAGCCATCAGTCCTTGCTTTTATCTTTTCTGCGCTGCAGGCAAAGCTAATTGTGTTTAAAACAATCTTGTCAACGTACAAACTAACAA